TCTGCACATAGTGCATACGTAGCTTTGCTACAGTAGTTTGACTTTTTCTTCTGCACATAGTGCATCTGAACATAGTGCATAAGTAGTTTTGTTATGATAGTTTGATTACTTGTTCTGCACAAAGTGCATTTGCACATAGCGCATAAGCATCTTTGCTAGAGTAGTTTGCCTACTTCTTCTGCACATAGTGCATAAGTAGCGTAGCTACAGTAACTCGGCTACACAATTCTTTAAAGGCAGATTGGGATGAGAGATATGCACGATATGTATATATAGTTATAAGTAAGAAAATGCCTATAATTATCTAAGCCTGGTTAGCAACGCTGCTTCCTCGTTCGAGTCGTGTGGTTGTACGGGTCTTGTCACCTTTGGTAACGGCGCTCGGGGTTGACTTGCGAGTTTTTGATTGCATTTAATTAGACGTGACCTTTTATTTGGGAGTCATCTAACCAACTTTGCTGCTTCTCTACAGCTATGAGTTGACGCATGCTGATCCTGCAAGACTTCGTGACGCTGCCGTCGGTGGTCGAGTTCGTGGGCTGCAACGTCATTCGGTTTTGTTTCACCCACAAGGCGGTGATGCATTTGCTGCATAGTATGGACCAGATGCATTGTATTGTCCTTTGAATGCGCTCCTATCATTTAAATGAAGTCAGTAAAGCTGTTACATAACTACGACGGAGAGCCCTAGTACTCGTTTGCTTGCAATGATCGTGAGAAAACTGTGTAGTCGCTCTAGCTTTCAAACTCCTCCAGGCCAGTTGCAGATGAGCTTCTGCCAAAAGTCTTGCGCATAGGGGCAAGTCCAGAAGAAGTGTTGTAGCGTCTCTTTCGCTCCTCGATGACATTGTAGCTTACTGCGTCTGTTTTGCGTTCATGTTACGGGGTCAACCGTACACATATTGCTAGGTAAAACCTAGCGACATAGCTAAGTACATATATCACATAATTAGGTGTACGCTGTACCCGATATAGCAAGGAAAGCATGTCGTATTCCTATTTGTTGATTTGTGTGAATTAGCTCGTTATCAGCCAATAGTATGTGACCTTTTTATTGAGATGCTCCCACAACGTTTGGAGACCACTCCTACTTAGGATAAAAAATAAATATAAAACCGAGTTAAATTTGGTATTAACCAAACATGCGTATAATTAAAACGTGTTCCTTTAAGTTTCTTCGTAAGATTTTAGTCGAAGTCACGTAACGGGTCCTTACCCCATTACACCCGGTTGCACTTCGTAGTCCAAAGAAGATGAGCGATCTGCCTATTAAGAGCGCTGAAGGAGGGATGCTAGATCATAATGACTTCCAGTATCTGACCTCTTTCGATTGGAAAGCTTTGTGTTTCCTAGTGGACGTGGCCGGTACCACTACCGTTGTCGCCATGCTGAAGGACACGCCTGAGCGGCTACAGCGTGTAGCCTACCAAGATTTCGTTAACCGCGAACTCGCCGATTTGCGTCGGAAAGCCTCAGTTTCCTTGGTTGCCACAGGGTCTAACGTCGTCAAACAAAGCCTTTTGTGCGGCAGGGTTCGAAGCGCCTCGTGCTTAAGCGATGGCTCTGTGATATAAATTTTACTGTCCAAGCCCGTCAGCTTAAGTCAGATTTCGTACGCACTGACTTCCTCTTGTCCAAGTTTATAGGCAAAGCAAAGGAGTGGGCTCTGGGCAGGGTTGTGGCCGATCCGGGATGTTTACGGATATAAAGGCATAAAGGACAACATACGTCTGGCGTTTGAGCCTCCGCAAGATGAGCACCACCACCGCTCGGCCTTCTTGGTACTGAAGCTAGATCGCCTGTCATTGCTGGATTATATCCAGCAAGCACGACATTTGGCATCCTGGACGTCACCAATCCGATCGATATGGTGATGAAAAGCCACATCTTCGTCATGGGAATAAACGCTGGGCATCAGCGTTTTTCTTTACGCAAAACTCTCCTACGTCGGTTGAAGAGCAACGTCGTTTGCAATTGCGTTACGTGAGGACTTCAGTTTCATGGCTTCGCGCATAGAATATTCTTCGCCTCCTCTTGCTACTAAAATGCCTGAGACCATGGAGATATTAACGCGATCGAGCACGCCACATACTCTTGGCGTGCTCCAAGTGCCTGATTCCGGAAGCCTGCAGCACCGAAACGGCTGGTGTGCTTCCGCTGACGTCAGCCTTAGCACCGAAAAGGCTGCCTTGCTTGCGCTGTCGTAAACCTGGTCACCAGGCGACTGTATGCCGTGCAACTGCACCGTACTCGCTGTCGCTGCGTCTGACGTCACAGTAAACGTCGCTGATCTGCCAAAAAACGACGGCAACCAATAGGCGTGGGGCTTCCCACTGGGTAGGAACGTGTATACGTGTCTGCAGTGGCGACACGTTCTTCAAGCCCCTCCGTGCAATATGCACGGCTGCATGCCACCGCGTACAGCAATGATCAGCGCTTAATTGTGCTTAGCGTTCACGTTGACGGTGCGTCACGTCCACTTCGCGCATTGCTGGACTCAGGCGCAACGAACAATTTTGTTTGCGCCGAATGTTTACCCGTTCTCCCGTCGCAATGCGTGTCCGCGAGTGTTCAGGGGAGATGATCGTCAAGTATGCGGACATAATGCCCTGCACGGATCAAAATCATTCAATGGTGCTTTCTTATCGATCCTGATGATTTCGAGGGCAGTGATGAATCCCAAGTTATCGACATAAGCGGTACATTGACTGCATTTCTATGATGCCGTGGCTTGCACCGCATCGGCCTGACATTGATTGGCTGAACAAACATGTGACATTGATGTCAACGCGGCTCTTGCCGTTTGTAACAGACCGACAAGTAGTTGGAAGCATGTTGCTGTCTGGACCCCGTCTACACGACTGATCACGCCCCCGATATGTGCGATGGTCCTTCCAGTGTCGTGTGTAACTCAGCAACCTGCTCCTCCTCAGTCTTACAGAAGTTTTTTTGTCAAGAACCAAACCCGCAGCAGTGACACCGGGGGTCATTTGGTCGAGCAGCGGCTCCCATGCGTGTTCGTTCTTCCAAACCCGCACGAAGGCGGAGATCTTCCGTGCGTCTCGAGCGAGCAGTAGCTCCCGTGTTAGTCCATATGGAGCACACCACGTCGGAGCAGCGGCTTCCGACGACTTACGCGATAGGCAGCGGACTTCCGTACAAACGATTGTGCAACCCATTTGTGTTCTATGTCACGTCGTCGCCGTAGCCAGCGTGTTCGTGCTCGTCCTCCCTAGTCGACAAATCTCTTGCGCCGGCGTCTCCATTTGAGATCATCAATGTCTTTAACATGACTGGTGCTACTCCGCGCAGTCATTCGTTACAGGTCGCGAGTCCTTCTCGCGACGCGTCTGGAATACTTAGATTTCGGTACTCTTTGAGGATAATTTACTGTATATTTTTTGTGCAGCTGT